TGAAGATTTAGTATTTCCCTATTTTTTACATTCCCTTTCAGCAGCACTTGAGAGAAGCTAATGTTTTTCTGTTAGCGCTCACTTCCGGGATCAAAATTTTTTTCTTCATGAGACCGGGACCAAAAACGTTGGTCCCGTATATGTCCGTTTTGTATTCGTTAAAAAAAGAAAAAAACTTATGTGATTATATGATTATTAAATGTAAAAATATTTCAGATTTTATCTTTGTAAACAAAATGATGAATGTTGAAAGTCTTTGTTTTAATTTATTTTATACCATTTGACTATGATTAGAAATCTGCCTATTTTAACCAATCAAGGAAATAAAATTAATGATTTTAGTTGTGTGTGTAGTCTTTTTACGCTCTTCATCTTTTATAATTATCGATACTACATTTATATACATATTTTTCAACACGTTTCCCTAACAAAGTGATTATTATTAAAAAATAGATATGGACAAGTTCTAAAACATTAAGTTCAGTTATGATAGTTTTCAGACGAATAATAGGAATAATAGATCATTCAACAGCAAAATTGATATAATAAAAAAACTGTCAAAAACGATAGTGAGATATTTGTTATAAACTATCTTTTTTTTTTGTATAATAATACTATTTTGATCTTTTTTTCGTTTTTTGAGTGAAAAGAATAAAGGAGATATCAGAAGTCATGAATTATATCTTCGATTTGATAATTGATGAATTACTTTTTTTTAAAAAGCTTTTAAGAAAGTTTCAAAGATTGAGTGTTAGTTGTTTTTAGGGCTAATATAATCAGTGACGTATTTCCACGTTAATTGATAAAAAATCTTCTATTCGTACAATAATTGTTTATCTATCATCCAATATGAGAGTGCATAAAAACTGAAAACTCCTATGATCAAAAATGATTTCCGATAATGATATTCATTTATTTTTAGAGATGATCCAAACGAGTTGCCAGCATTTGTATGTTCGAATGAAGCCGCTAAAAGCTATCGATATAGTATTAAAGGTGACAATTTGTTTGCTGCTGTTTTGTACGTAAAATTTACTTCACAAAAAAGAAAAAACGCAATTCACTATCGTCATTTTTCATTTTTACACTGATTTTAGATTATACGCAAAACAAAAACTTAAATCTGATTCTTTATCATCATCTAATCAAACAGCATTAAAAAATTTAATTATCAATTTGGAAAAAGTAGCACAGACAAATAAATTTTCATTAGATGAAACATCTGATAAAATAAAAAATAGACAAAAAAAAACGTGTTGTACATTAATAAATAATATTGGAATGTATGTTCCGGTAAAAAATGATATTGGTTATAGACCAGTGCCACTTAATAAAGGTAAATATATGACAAACTTATATTGATAAATACTATTGCTAGTTAAAAAAACTAATTTCAGTATTATTTTATTATTATTATTATTATTATTTTAGATCAATTCAAGAAATTATGTGAAAATTTATGTAATGGTAAAAATATAAAAATAAAGCAAACATCAGAAGATGAACTTCAAAATATTATTACATGTATACAATTTGCAAATGATGAACTCGATTATGGTGAAGGTTTAGAACTTGGTATTAACCTCTTTTTATATGGTTCAAATATTTTACATTCACAAATTATTACTTTATTACCGATAGCATATCAATTATTGAAACGAAATTTATATTCAAAAATAATTACTGATCATATAGCACGACGTTCAAATTCAATAGAAGACATAAATTATTTTAAAAAACATAGAAATAATGATTAAAAGTGTTTTTATACTTAATCATATTTGGTTATTCTTTTGAATAAATCATACTTGTACTATGTCAAAACATGATCTTATATTAACCAATTGTAAATTTATCTTATTTTCATTTGTACTGTGCGTGCTCTTTATTTTTAAATTTATTACAAAAAATAAATAAATAAATAATGTTAGGATAAATTTTGGCAAATTATGTTCACATTAGATCACCGATAAAGAATCAGACTAGATAGTCGACATGTAGACGAACAACGGATAATTTACTTTACATCGAACTTTGGTACTTCAGCAGAACATGAGAAAAGTGGCATACTCTGATTGATAAGACGACCCTTTAGATCATATCTATCGAGCTAATAAGTACTTTTAGCCAAACTATACATCAAACTTACAAAAATATAGATTGTTGCCATCAATTTGGTACTACTTGGTCGAAGGAATTTTAACTATTAAAAATTGCTGTATTTTAACATATTTGAAGTGGGTAAAAACAAAAAAAGTAAAATAAAACATTTCCAGTTATAGCTCCCATCAAATCATTCTCAGTGAGTTTTTCATTAGTTGATCTATCAAAGGTATCAATTCATAAAATGACCATGTATACAACTATTTGTTTCAAAAAATGAAATGACTTTCACTTTTTTAGCAGACATTTTGGGCTATCCAATCATACAAAAATCGTATTTGAACTCGTTTACTAGCAAGCCGATTTTAGAAAGGTCACCTAGAAATCGAACTTTGAAAAAATAATTTTTTTTAACTGACTCTTTCATGAAAATATGTGCTCAAGTCTTGGTCAAGTCAAAGCACTATCATTTTTCTATTAAAAAGCTATTTAAAAATAGTCCCCATTTTGAAATTGGACAAGTCAGAAACAATTTATATTATTTTATGTTTTATATCGAAAAATATAACAAACAATCTAAGAGAATCAAACATATGAAAACTTTAACTATTATTTGTTGTTTGCTTATGTGCTTCATTACCGAATAAGTACAAATGTTGCACCAAAATGATAATCGGTTGAATTATTCAGAATAAACAATGGGGGCTAATAAAAGACAACGGTAAACAATCAAGCCGTACCGTTTTAGTAAAACTTTCAGCATGAAAATCCTAAAAAACTTTGACCACTTTGAGATTTCTTTGAATAAATTTCGTCTTTCACCATCAAAAAACGGGTAGAACACACTTTCTATGAATATTTTTCCTTTCTTTTCTGTTTTATTCCTAGGCTCTTTTTTATGCTCAAAAATAAACTAAAAAAATAGGCAAAAAGCCATCGTTTTTGAAATAAAATCCACCAGAATAGCCATTACGTTTGGTAAAAATTTTTTTTGAGAACGATACAGTTATTTCTCAAAAAACTTTGAAACGATTACATCTCAGAAGCTTATTTAAGTATCAATATTCTGTTTTTACATTCAAAGCATTTGAAAATATCGGAAACATTTAATTCTAATGTATGTATATATCACAGTGTACAAGAAAGGAAAACAGCTATAATAATTTTGAAAAACTGTAAATGCATGCAATCTACAATTCTTGTTTGTTTTCATCATTATCGCCATTCATCTTCATTGCTTGAACAACTTCATCTTGTAAACGTTGACATTCGTTTAGCGAATAGTTTTGTAGTAATGGACGTGATACTCTTGACAAAAATTTGTAAACATCAATTTGAAAACGTTTATAATGAATAGAATCATTGTATGTTGAACAATGTGCTATTAGAGCATCTAGTAATGAAACTGTTTTCAAACAAAACTCACTTTGTTCTAATTCTAATTCATTAACATATGCCATTGTTATATGATCTAACATTTCACTTGTTTCAATAGAATCACCAGCATGATATTGTATTAATCTAAAAATGGATTTTTCACGATCAATTGTTTGATCTAAAGGAAAAAAATACAGCAGCATAGCTAGATGATTCTTCATTCAAATTAGTATGCATTAATTAACTATTTGGCTCCGAAATCCTCGTTCTCAACATCAATGTACTCCAAATCACTAACGAGAGGACTGTCAAGCGATTCATTCGACAAACTTACTCAGAATTATGTTCCAAAATAGTGTAACCTGTTCAACGTTCAAAATACATGGTTGACATTGTTCAATAAATATTTGATAACTTTTATATGCTTCATCATATCGATTAGCATTAAACGCTAAACGCGCTTGTTCAATGTAGAATTCTTTATCCATAGACTGACTATACTTGATAGTCAATGATCAAACAAATTATATCTGAAATCTACTTACACTGAACAAATCGAAGATATTTTAGCGTAATATGATTTTAGTAAGAATTGAAATTTTAATTCTTTCTTGAAAAATGGTATAACTTAAAACTTCATCTTCTTGGCTGGCTCATTACTTTGATACTTTTTTACTGTAATTTATGAGAAGCATTTATGAATTGACAAAAATGATTGATTCAATCATCAATCAATGATCTACTCAAGTTTAAGCTGAGTAGAGGATGCTTAGGTTCACCAAAAAAGATAGGCACGATTTTCTTTGATCACAAAAAAAAAATATGTTTGACCGCTAAATTGTGATCAGTATCCTGAAGATTATTCATTTCTCAGCGAATATACAATATACAGAAGTATGTTCATTGCGAAAAAAACGCTTCTCGCTGTATTTAAAAGTGAGAAGTTGTGCTAACTTTCTTGGGACGCCCTTTATCTTTTCGAGTCCCTAATGGTTGAATACGTGTTTTACCACTAACTTTATACGAGTTAGATGAGATAACTAATCCAATTCAATTTGTATAAAGTTAGTGATAAAACACGTATTCAACCGTTAGGGACTCGAAAAGATAAAGGGCGTCCCAAGAAAGTTAGCACAACTTCTCACTTTTAAATACAGTGAGAAGCTTTTACTTCGCAGTGGACATACTTCTGTATATTGTATATTCGTTGAGAAATGAATAATCTTCACGGTACTGATCACATTTTAGCGGTCAAACATATTTTTTTTTTGGTGATGAAAAATACGTTTTCCGCTAAAACACCATAATCGATTTCAAAATTTCTTTATTCAGTCGGATCACAAATCAACCATGAGCCTTAACTTTTAGAACAGAAGATAATACAAAAAAGATCAGAGGGAAATACTATCCAACTAAAAGTCCTGTCTCAGAAAAAGAAGTCATAAAATTGACAGAGTTACGACCAGAGCTGCCAGATAGTCCGCATTTTGCAGACAAATGTCCTGCAATGAAGATTTTTACATTTTCTCGTAAAAAGCTTGCCGCCTTTGGCGGCTGAATGACCTGTCAAACAATGCTTTTGCAACTTTTATAAAACAGATGCACACTGTTTTGAGAACTAAATCAGAAATTTGTCCCAGAAGTGAGCGCTAACAGAAAAACATTAGCTTCTCTCAAGTGCTGCTGAAAGGGAATGTAAAAAATAGGGAAATACTAAATCTTCAAGGAAGCCAACTCGATCAGAAAATCTTAACCATTAAGTACTGTCGTAGGCAGGAAAGTTTCGGATTAAATTTTATCCTGCCATACATAACTCTTGAAATTTATGACGGCTGATCGAAAACGCGCATCCACAAAAAGCCAATATCGATTCAAATTGGGAGTTAAATGATGTTTTGTACTTATTTGGTGTTTCTTAAGTAAGTTAAGTTCATCATAAAGCGTTAAAAATTTTTTTTTGATACCCTTTGCATTTGGTGAAAAATAAACTAATACGATGAAAAATGCGTTTTCGCTTTTTTGACTTTTTATTCCGCTTTTCTGACCTAAGCATCTGGCAACTCTGATTACGACAGAAGGGTTCTACAACCGAGCCAATCTCGTTCAGTGGACAAACGAAAAAGAAGAAATACATTACTTACAGAAAATAAATGAAAAATTTAGAGCCAAGCAATAAATCTACGTACTTCCCTTTACAGAAAAGATGATGCTTGCCATGTTTGAAAGTGTGCCACCATGTGATATGTAAAATCGAGAAAAAGATGCACATTTTTTGGGATAGAGAAAAAATAATGATTCATCAACACATGCGCATAGTACCGTCGACCGTTGTTTCTATATAGACAAAAGGCGAAACAATACTCTTGTTTTCGACTGGCATGCGAACAAAAAAAAAAGCTAAAGATATATTTTGCAATATAGCGAAGACATCTCAGAAGAAAGTAACAACGAAAGAACTTTAAAATCAAAATTTATTTGATGGTAAGATTGAAAATTTATTTTTACTCTTCTTATTTCATCTCGATGTGGATTTAATTGAATAGAAAAAATTGAAGATAGCTATAAAAATTTCTCTTTCTGTAGAATACAAAAATAGTAGGAAAAGTTTGTGTCGAATGCTCGAACATGTTAAACGCACATGCAACTCAAATTAAGTTTTCCATATAGCGTGATTTAAAGTGAGAAACATTCTACAACCAATCATTATCGACTTTTAACAATCAGCAGGAACGATTTTCCGAGCGGACAGTATTTAATGTTCGTTTTGAAGTGTAGCTGACATAATACCCGAAGTAAACAGTCTTGAAAAATCAGACTGCATTGGTTTTAGTCGTCTGTCTAGATATACAATCCTTTTCTCTTTCAATGATCCTTCGGGTTTCAATGGTCCTTTGAATAAGAGTCTATACAGATGCGATTATTTTGATATTTTGTTAAAAGAACTTCTTGATATTTCCAAAATTACGTAAAAATTTGTAATAACGAAGAATAAGTTATAGTTGTGTGTAAAGATTAGATTCTGGAAGAGTTTATTTTTTGTTCGATGCAATATTTCAAATCTTCTTTTATATAAAATCTGAGATTGAAATAAAACATCAGGGCTGTGCGACATACAAGGTTTTTCATGAAGAGTTTAACTTGACTTTTTTTGTACGTCGAATTGGATCGATTCAAGTTTTAACGTACTTGAACAGCAAATTTTGACTGTTCACTTCGCTTTTTTTTGTTCTTTTGAATTCATATGAGAGCCATGTTCGCATATATGCAATTCAATGATGGTCTACAGAGATGCACCCGTTTTTCAGAACCTGTCTCGTTCCGCTCCGTCACTTTGGAAACTATTCGCAATTCGAAAATCTTTTTTCTTTTTCGTCACTTTCCCGAAATTGCTTTGTGTAGCAATATTTTTTCTCTTCTCGATATTCTTAATCTTTCCTTCTTCCAGAATGACATGTTTTATTTCAAAACAATTACGGTAATACACCCAAAAATAAATGGAAAATTTCATATTTCTTTTTCTACAGAACGGCCAGCAGTAATATCGTTTACTGTTTGTCGGTTTAGATTCGATCGTCATTGAGTAATAATCACGCCTGCAGTCGAATAAAACGCTCTGCTTCGCGGGCTTACGCCTGCCAATTTTTAGATTATCGCAGATCCGTTCGATGAACAAAATAAGTTTTTCCTCCGTTGGATCTCGTCGCGGCTCCTGTTCATTTCTGATAGCACTTAATTTCCTTATTCATAAAATCTTTCTTTGTTAAAAAATCGAAAAACTGAAATAACGCAATATTCAGAAGAAATTGACAATTTTATATAGACGGAGATGCAATGTAATTTTATTTTCGAAGATTCTTTCTGAATTCGGCTCTTCAACACATTGACAACATGAGACGTTCTGTAAGCCGGGACGAATCTTGATAACTACGCTATAACAAAATTCTCCTGGATGCTCCAAAAAACACTAAGAAATGGCACATAGCTATGGTTTATTGGATATTGAACCATCATATTGTTTGTTTGATCAGGAATAAGAAACAATGGTTAAAAGTTCAAATTTTGAAAAAAGACAGCCATTTCTTAACGTGTCTTATTAGATTATTTATCCGTTTTTGATTTATACGTGAAATTCAAAATCTCCCTTGTGCAGATATACTATTGAAAACTTTTTTGTTATAATTTTGCTTAACATATAAATTAACTTTAGTAAAAGATCTTAACTTTTTTACTACTCGTGAAGTATAAGAAGCAACTACTTGTTATTTTCAGAGGCTATGTAAAAGTCTTTTCGAGGCCGGCTTTTCATTTATCTTGGTTTAGAAGTTTTCTAGAGATCTTACTGTTTAATTCTCCTTGCGTACGCCTTCCCTGAAAGTTCATTCAATGGGACTAACAATTTTATCATAGATAGCTGGTCAAGTACATCAGAGGTTGAACTTTTTTTCTGAAAAATATTATTTCATTCACGAAAATACGTAAAAATCCTTTTAAACCTTGGTTTTTGATTTTAAAAGCCCTTATAGGTCGGCCCAAAGCACGTTTTTTCAAAAAAAATTTAACTCCTAGAGAAACCTACGAAGTAACCGGTAAAAATTTCAGCTCGATCGGATAAACTTTTAGTAGAGGGTAAGCAGGACTAATTGAGTGCTCTGGCAAAAAAAGATGTTTTGAAACAGGAACGTTGCAACGCGAAACTCACTTTTTCTAATAGTTTTCAGCAAAATGATCATAGCTCTATCTGAAAAAGTGGTATAAAGTTGGACGATATCTCGTTTTGTTCAGAACTCCACTCCACAAGATTGACTATTTGAAAAAACTTTCCACTGCTGGGAGATAAAGAAAAACATTTTCCAAAGTTCAACAATAGAATTTTTTTAAGGTGACAAATTTGAAAAATTCGTATCTCTCCAGTGAACGGTCCTGGAGAACTAGGACTGGTCTTATTTTGTAGAGGTCATGTCACTCCATCATACATCACATTTGTTTCAAAAATTTATGATATATTACTTTGACCTATTTATCACTCGTATATTTCATTAAACTATAATATTATCTTATATTATTAAAGTTTTAATAAATTGATTTATTTCTCTTTAAGCAGTTTCCGTAAATACAATTGATCAAACAATCAGAAAGTTCGTATTTATGGAAGACAATATATATTTGTCTTTCATCCTGAATTTAAAACCAACAATTTCCCATGATAATAATTCAACATTATCAATATCAAATAATAATAATCATAATAAAAAACAGCAACAGTTTGATAATCTAAATCGTATAAGTTACGAAATTAAAGATGTTGATATTGACGATCAAGATGTTAATCATAATGAATCAAAACTTGAATGTCTTGATGATCATAACTGTAAGTGTAAATTTTTACTAGTGTTCACAGAAAACTGAAACGAGTATACATGATTCGAGGTTAACACAGTAGTGGAGAGAAAAAACTTGAATGTGTGTGTATTGCCCGTACATTAGGCGAAATCAAGGTTTATAGAAATTTAATGTAACAGTAATACGATTGCCAATATGCCACGCTTCATGATTCATTTTGTTTCGTTTTAGATATCTCAAATAGCAAAGAAGATCAAATGAGAGATCATGACCTTATTCGCGAATTTAATTTGCTTGATAATGGAGAAGATGATGAACGTCAACAGCGTCATAAAGATGATAATGATGATGATAGTAATTCAATGTATTTAAATTCGGCCACAATATCATCTGATCATGATCATAAATATAATATGCAACAAACAGTACAACATCAACCACATCGCCAATCGGTATTACAGCAACCATCATCACCAAGTCCATTATTGAATTATCGAAAAAATCTTCCAAATGAAGATTATCGAATACTTGTTGATTTATTAACATCTTCTGATACTCAATTACCACAACGTTTTGGTTCAGCACTTATTGATCCTCACTCAATTACACCTTATACAGATGGTAAGTTAAAAAATATATTTGAAAATCATATTTTGTTTTGTTGTTATATCACCGTTATTCTTGTTTAACTATAATAATTTGTTTTCTAAATATTTTTCTCTTTTTTCAGCAACATGTACTCGTTCAAAAAAACGAGTAAATCGAGTGAAACGACCAATGAATGCATTTATGGTATTTTCACAATTCGAACGTCGAAAAATTGTACAATTAGCACCGGATATGCATAATGCTGATATAAGTAAATGTTTAGGTGCTCGGTGGAAAAAATTATCATTAATTGAACGTCAACCATTTATTGATGAATCAGAACGTTTAAAAGAGTTACATGTATTAGAATATCCAAATTATAAGTATTGTCCAAGGAAACGAAAAAGCGGAAGTGATGGTCGAAAAGTAAACAGTGATCGAAATAACAGTAATAATAATAATAATCGTGTATACGTTCCATTAACTCCACCACCATCTAATTCATCATCCGTTGTTTCAACAACGTCACCCTCAACATCATTTATCGTTCAAAAATCTGAGCAACAACAACAACAACAACCGTTAATTATGTCAAATACAAATATCGATTTAGCAACATTATCTTACTTACGATCAATGGCTGATCCAAAAGTAGTTAATAATATTTTATTGGCAAATTTAAATTCGTTTAATAATGCTGTTGCACACCATCATCAACCATTTCAGTCACATCAACAAACCTCACACTCATTGTTTCTTCAACATCAACAGTCAGCCGCAAATTTATTAATGAGATGTGATCCATCGTTACTAGCTGCCGCTATTGGAAGTATGAATGGATAAGTAATTTATAGGCGGTTATATATCTCTTTTTATTCGTAGGTGAACTATATAACAGTTTCATTTTATCTCTTACTTTAGATTAGGACGTCTATTCTTCATTTTTATTTGTTTTGTTTTTGCTTGCTTTTGTTTTTCTCTGTTTATATTTTTTTTTTGTTACGAAAATAACCTGGACTGAAACGAAATGGTTCTAAAAGAGGCTTTTTTCGGTGATTAATCACTACAATACAGGATAATCACTACTATTTTTATATTATTTTTGTTATTTCTTAGCATTTGTCGATTGAGTGTTTTCTTATTCACTGAACGACTCTGAAGATGAAGTTTGATTTGTTTTTGAAAAAAAAGAAATAAAAAAAAACAATTGGATCATGTGTAACATGGTACGAAAAAAATAATAAACAGAATCAGTACTAAGCAAATGGGCAGTAAAAAGATTTAGATAAACATTCATTCGACTTAATGGTCTAAAATTCAAATTTGATAATAGATACACTCAATGTCAGACGTGATTTAAATCAGACTTCGTCATTTTACCCATGTGACTCTTGTCCGTCTGACATACATCAAAGACAAATAACCAAAACAAAAAAATCGTCCTGACATACGTTAGGCAGTGCATGAGCTGAATGTCGTCACAAACACTGCTTGTATATTTCTTTAGAGATTCTACTATCAGTACTAGTAGTCAGGATTTCGTCATGAAAAACAGAGAACAGAGATATTACGGACTATATTTATGATAAGGGTAATTGAGAGTATGAGACACGTAATCATGCACCGCTATATTTCTGAGTTCATCAAACTATAGCTTGATGAACTTTCTGTAATCTTCGTATCGTAAAGCTATATCCCTCGGAATCGTGGAAAAGTCTTAAGGTCTATCTAGCTATATTCATCCACTTTCTGTGGGGAAGCGCTGCTGTATCTCGCAAAGACAGTTTAAACTTTCTAGTTATCCAAGTAAGTTGCACGTATTGGCGAGAGCTCTCTACCCACCTACATGGAAAATTTAGTTTTACAACATTAGTTAGAACTACTTTTCTGAAGTTAAAAATGTACTAATGAAGAAGTTTTCAATAATTCAAGATTTTATTTTCTTTCATTCTTGCAGATTATTTTCTAACGATATTTTTGAATTTTGTATATACAATGCAAATCGACGCTCCCGACAATCCGTTTTTTCAGCATATCTACTTTTCATAAATAAGTAGTAGCTTTGTTGAATTGAATTAAAATTAAGCCATGCGATTCTCTCACTCATCTATCTGTTAATACACTATGTAGAGTGTCTGTACTATTGTACTCTTTTTCTCTGTCCGGCCCACACCTGCTTCCGTCATAATCTGAAGTGCACCATAACTATTTTTTTTAAAATTAGCTTTTTACTGTTGAGTTGAATAGTTTATTCTCTTCCTTGTACATGTGTATAGTCTAACACTCTATGAGTTGATCTACCCGTACACACATACACGATATCGAACAGTGTCTTTAACTTAAGCAGGTGATTTTCCTCTAACTATAACATTGCTGTTACTCAAATTATATTTCAAAAGATATATACATATATAAATGGTAGTGAAAAATGAGTGTTCAACTTTGACGGATGTCACTGTACCTGCATCGTGAGTAGAAAAGAAAAAGAGTCTGTTTTTCTTTTCCTCCCTTGTACAGTCGATATAATATCTTGAATAAAGAAAATAAAGTGTGAATAATTTTTTCTTTTGTACAGTTTTTCTATTCTTTTCTCCTTTAGAGAAATCAGACGACGGACACGAAACGTTCAACAACAACAATTATAGCGTATTATGGTGTTCATCATTTTTGAACAATAGATTATTCGACGTTGGAAATGAAAAATATTTTTTCTCTTTTCTTCTATACGTAACAGCCGTTCTTCCCCTTGATATTTTCTCTGACAATGGACGGTCTAACAATGACATGTAACACGCCAACAGGAACGTCTATGGACAATGCGCTAGTTGGTCCTACTGTGACTTATATTCGAACAACGAACAACAATAACAATGTATTACAACAACGACAGCAGCAAATAATGCAGCAGCAACCCCAACGTATTTTGACAACAACGAATGGTAAACCAACATTAATGGCTAATTCTACTATCAAATTATCCACAACAAAATCTTCATCTTCAAATCCCATTAATCCATTACTAGTTGGAAATGCTTATCAAAAAATGCGTTCAATAACAACAACACCTCCAGTTAAGACTGAACCTGTAAATATATCAGAATTAAATCAACAACCCGCAGTATATATCATGAATAACGATAATACTCAAAATAAATCCTCAGATAACACCCGCACAATAACCGTTAATCGTCTATTATTTCCGGGAACTACTACAGCATCAACAATCCCAACAAATCAAATAGGAAATCAAGCAAATTCTAGTATGTCGAACAATGTCATTATCAATGGAACCAATGCTGTTAATTTAGCAACGATAGGTAAGTTAACGCCTAGATAAACGCTTGGAGTTTTTTTCATATATCTTTTATACATTAGTTAATAATTTAACAACATTAAACGCAATCGCATTACAAAATGCGCTGAATGGTGGTAACGGAAATAATAGTATTGCCAAATTACTATCAACTCCAATAAGTGCCGCATTTTTATCCGCCGCCACGAATGCTGTTACAAATGGAATGAGTGTACCAGCTACATTAGTACCGGCTGTTAACTGTAAGTTTGTATACGGTTTCATTCTTATACTTTTGCTTCAGAATATAGTCACAATTGTAGTATTAAAACTAGCTATTTAAATTGCTTTGTGAACATTATTTCAAACAGTATTTTCATCCAACATGTGCGTTAACCTGTAGAATCTTTTTACAGCCATAACATCCAATAATAAAGAAAATCAAAATACACTTCCTACCGTTCATTCAAATTCCAATATTCAACATCTGCAACAACATTCCACTACTACTTCCAGTCGTTCATCAACCCCGGCGACAACAGCCGTAGTTCGTTCAGTACCATCAAATAATACTTTGACTGTCACAGCTGCAGGTGCAGGTACTTCCACAACTACGGCATCATCATCCACACCGCCGACAAATGTACCGAATGAATTTTTTGCGAAAACAAAAGTTCTGGTTGAACTGTTAACAGCACCAAACACTCAGCCACCATCAAAATTTGGCTCAATGAATATTGATCCACAAACTCATACACCGTATTCGGATGCCACACGTACACGTTCAAAAAAACGAGTGAATCGAGTGAAACGACCAATGAATGCGTTTATGGTATTTTCTCAATTAGAACGGCGAAAAATTGTACAATTGGCACCGGATATGCATAATGCAGAAATAAGCAAATATTTAGGTAGGCTTATTATTTTAACTATTACTAAATCTATATGAAGATTTAGAATTCTAAAGATAAAACAATGAATTAATTTACAAGTATTCACATCGTTAGTTAATAGTATTTGTTTTCCTTTCTTAGGTGCTCGATGGAAACGTTTATCTGAAGTTGAGCGTCGTCCATTCATGGAAGAAGCTGAACGTTTGAAACAATTACATTTACAAGAATATCCTGATTATAAATATCGCCCTCGTAAAAAAGCAAAAAAAGGGTTAAATTCACCATCAACGACATTATCGGTCGATACAACAAATTATTCACATTCAAATAAGAACAACAACACAGATACGGACACGTCATCTGAAACTCATACCCCTCAACCATTGGATCCAAACAATTTTGATCATGATATGAATGAATTCAATGAGGTGATCGTAGAAGAAGAGAGTAGTGATGCATCATCATTCTTATCGAATACGTCATTGATGGCAAATTTTTTGAATGATCCAAAATTAGCAAATAATTTCTTAATGAATTTTGATGAAATACTTTCACAACAATCTACCACCTCATCGTGTTCTTCAGCCTCATCTCAAACAGCTCAAACAAATTCTTCACAAAACAGTCTTCTTTCGTCACTAAGTGGTATGGCTGCTGATCCATCGTTATTAGCCGCTTTGGAGTCATTTGATTTTGCTACTCAAGCTGAATTTCTCAATCAATTAAATTTACTCGGTGACTATAAACTGTTTGATTTAGATTTAACGCCAGATAATTCATTGTAAAGCATTCCTCGTCCCTTGATGCAGTCAATTATTTGTGATACATTTACGTTTTTACTAATTATGTTTTTACTATTTTGTGTGTTGAACATTGTCTACTCTTTTATCTTCGTCCAATGTTGATTAACCCTTTTGTTGATCGCACCCACTCGCATGAATGGAGAACACATACGCACACTCATCTGTACATCGAATTGTTGTTTTGTTTCTTATCAAAAACAATTTTTTTTCGTTTTTTTTTCTCGTTTTGGTTTGTAAATAGTTTTGAAATGTATTTTTCATTCATTCCTGATAGATGAGTTTCAGACAAAAAAAAATATTTTCTGGTTTTATACAACGAATATGTTTATTTTAATAATAAACGACATGATAATTTTTGAACTTTGGTCAAATAAGGAGATAAGCACTTAAACTAAGGAAATTTTCAACATTAGCACTGGTGGAACTCAGAAATAAGTTGTCATGTTTGAGAGTTGATGGAAGCTATGTATCAAAGATGTAGAATTTGATTCTTTTTAAAACTATATTTGATTGGGATATTTATTCATTAAGTTGCCTCGGCGTAACAGTTGCAGTATTAGAGTGGATCAACTTTCACAACTTGCTGGTTTCAATATTAATTCTTCACAAAGCGTTCCTGATAGTTCAATTTAACTCTATGATAATTTCTCTCATGGAAAGTTGCATATTTCGGCGTTGTACAACACTGGATCAATTTTGTAGATAGTACTCTTTTCCTTCAGAAGAAGCGACGCTAAAGTCTGAAAACCGTATTAATTAAAATGCTAACAGAATGCACAATAACACTAATATAAATACTTTTTCACAATCCAAATAGAAAATCGTAAATTTGCTCTAGAAAGGTGTACAATCTGCTATACTAGACCAGATTATTTTCTACATGAAATGGTAGTTTCCTCGAGCGACACGGCGACGAGAAGATAATGCCTGACAGAGGTCGCGTAATTCGCACACAACCGACCGCTGACAATCAGTGTTTTATGCTCTTTTCTTAGTTCGACAGTTTTCGGTTTATGATAAAGTGATGCAGAAGTTTTTGGAGAATTTATGGGTGACTGTGAATTTATTAATTCATAACCCTTTTCTTGCGCGACATGATGCGTGAACAGATTTATATATAGGCTAGAAAGCCTTGAAAGTTGATCCGCTCTATTTCAAATGTTATGCAGAAGCAACTCAACGAGTTTTATGTAATTTAATTACAGCTTTTTTGATGAAAAAATACAAAATTGAATAAGAGTTGAATTTAATGAAATATTTTAAAAAAATCTAAATACTTTCTCAAATTACTGATGACTCATAATGTTCTATTCAATTCATGCTGTTTTATTTTCAATCAATAACACGTCAGTTAACATTTTCCTTTTCGTTTGCAACTCAGTTGTTACATATTTCATTTCTTTTTGTTTTATTTTCACTGAAATGCTTGGAAACGCATAATACAAAAACAGAAAGAGAGAAAGAAAACAGACAATAAAAATCAGAACTACCTACGTACAAAACAGTCAAGACATAGCACGAACATCAACGCAAGTGAAGCAATTTTGCTTAAATACCTCTATGTATGTATGTACATCTATAATGTACAGTTAATACACGTAACAGAAGACGGAAAATAAAAAATAAACTGTTTCATTTTGTATCTCATGCAGAACGTTAAAAGAAACAGACCTAAACTTGATACACGCGAAAAAAGTCTTAAAACACAACAGTAACATTGTTGTTAATACCTTCTCATCTCAAATGTTCAACATCCTCATTTTAATAGTTTCTAAAATTTTCCATCTTCTAAATTTTGATCAACGCTTAATGATAATTTGATGAAACAAAAATAACAAAATCTGTAAAGCAAACCTAAACAGCTTCATCAAAATAGCCGGCAAAAAGAGAAAAAAATAGAACATAAATGAGATAGATTACAACAAACAAATGTGTATGTAATCTATCATACAAAAATCGGAAAAAAGCGTTTCTCGAATACTGTGCGTGTATGCAAAACCGTTTTCATAAAAAAACAAGAAAGAACAGATTTTTATTCAGTTAAAAAAATGGAGTGCGAACAACATTTACTCTTGAAGCAGTTTTTAGTTTTTCCTCTTTAATATACAACATTTTAAAATAATTGATATGGATTTAAATCAAGTGTATTACCCATACCATTATTGTAAGAATAGGTCATCTTAAAACGTAAACAAATCGTCAAGTTATTGTAATTAGTTAATTGAATCCAAACGACTTACTTGACATGGCATTGTTGTATGGGCATTCATTTTGAGAACATTACTTTTTCCACTGCAATCTAACGGTACATTTTCGGGTTCTTCCATCTCTGAAAATCAAAAATCTTGTTTAAGTAAACTCTTCCGACGTTAAATTTATTGTATCGTATAATTTGTTGTGATATGAGTGCAATTTTCGAAACTGATTTATGAAGTTTTACAGTTAAAGACTCAATATGTTTTTAACTGAATAATGATGTATAATACTCACTGACACCGTTGGGTACTTTTTGCATCAATGAGGAATCTTGAACAAGATTCATTGATAGCGCGGAAGTGTTCATTGCATTTAACAAGGACTGGTACTAAATACGAACAAAAATTTGTCACTATTATGGCTAAAAATGAGTTTCGTCTACATCATCTGGTGACTACACAACTAATAAGATCTCACATAGCACAAAGGAACTTTTTATCTCCGTATTTATACCGTTATCGCCATTTCTTCCTCTGAATTATAAAAACTTACTTTTGTTCTCATGTCTCCAAGTTCTTGATGCAAACTTTCAACAAAATGCGTTTGATTGAACTGATGTTGTTGAATATTGTTGTATGCGTGTAATTGTTGTTGATGTTGAATTTGCAATTGCTGTTGTTGCTGATTATCTGAAACAGAAACGACGTCCGTAGAAAATGTTTAGCCTCAGTGGTGTCTATTATATAGTGTTATACAGATTTCCATGGACTTACTATGTTGTTGTTGTTGCTGTTGTTGTTGCTGAAGCATTTGATCCAGATAACTATTGTTAAGATTTTTATTTAATGATTTACGTGAACGTTTTGGTTTTTGTTGAGTAACATTATGAGTTAAATTTGAGTTTCCATCTGGAGAAGTCAATGTACTTATTATCACTTCATCATAATGAAATAATTTTTCTAATGGATCTTTATTTGATAATAAGGCGCGAATTAGTTTTGTAGCCGCTTTTCCATTCATTTTGTGGAAATATGTGAGATGATGAAAAACGAAAATTTGTTGATCAGCTCGATCGCCTAAAAAAGAGAAAAAAAATCGTGCATAGCTTTTTACCAGAGAAAATGTTTTAGCTTAACAAAAACTATTTAATGTTGCACATCATACATTTTGCATATCATTCTGTTTATAAACGCACAAATCTGAAGAAAAACGCCAATTAACTCACGTCTAATAGTGCTGCGTTATCGTGCATAACACGAACGCATTTTAATGCAAAGAAAGATCCATTTTGTGGAAATACGTAGAAAAATGAAAAACTTCGTATGTCAGAAAAAGAGCAATTTATTCCCAAGTGCATTCACTGATGGACATTAGTAGCTGCAAATCAGAGATCCTAATAGAATGCGATGGGACGAAAAAAAAACGTCTTTTGGGACAATATAGCCCGTCTAGTTGCATAGCTAGTTTTGCCGCAATCTTGTCGGATAATAACGGTCGACCAATCGTATGGACTTTAAAAATTTTAGCCCACATCTCATTAAAATCAATAGTAAAAAAAAATGACAAAATAATAACTTACATGGAATATTTGGAATTTGATGATTTTCATGAATACCTAGGAATACAGTTAAGAAGTAGAAGCAATATCTGACATAAAAAACAAACATATTGATTTACCATAGATATGTCTTGAAACTAATGGACATTTGCATTTTAATTTTCTCACAGCGCATTTGGATTGGGTCACAAGATCTTTGACATGAAATAATTTTGTACGAGAATTTGTACATGACAATAAAGCTAAAACAATCTTTTTTGCTGCACGTGACGAGAGATTGTGATGATATTGTAAATGTTGATAGCATAGAACTTCTTTTTCTGCACGACTACACGGCATATTTGTAACATCATGCTCATCGGCACATAAACCATAAACTTCATCTCTAATTAGTGGACATTTGCCTAGAACAAAAAGAACGGATGTAATACGATACTGAAAGAAGAATCAACCAAATCCTTCGAAGAATTTGCACGAATGGAAATGTTCAATCTGAACTACTTTCTTTCCAAGTGATCATCTACAGAAGTATGTAAACTATAAAGTTTTCTCTTTACAGTCGAGTATCTCTCAGCGCAGAATGGATAACTTAAAAATTCCAGATTTAACGCCTGATGATGAAGTTAATATTTGAAAATAGATTCTCGAACGGTTATTGTGTAAATAACTCTTAGTATAATCTTTATGACTTACATTTATAACTTTCAACTGGTATATTTTGTTTGATTATACATTCATTTGGTTGAAAAATTTGTTCATTCATACTCAGATTGTTAAATAATGCTCGAACAAGCTTTCTCGCTGATACCTAAAACCAACAAAAGATACTTGTTGAAAAAGTCTAAATAATAACTCTAGGAACGTACGCTATCGAAATTATGGTACCACTGGAGATGCTGATATAAAAAGACGTCATTCGTCGATCGATCACAAGGAATAGATCGTACTTGGTGAATATCTTGAATACCATAGGATCCTACACAAAAGAGATTCATACGTGGTATAAGATCAAACTGAAAGGATTGTAGTGTTACACAATACAAACCTAGTTTTATTAAAGGGCAACGGCATTTATAATTTTGAACTTTTTGAAACGAAGAATTGGGTGAATTCATGGATATTTTTTAATTCATCAAAAGTTAGTCACTCTGAAAATAAGACAACGATGTTATCAAGTATCCATGATTAATTTTCAATTCAAATATGTATTATATTCGAATTGAGAAAATATACAACAATACATGATTTGTTTCATGTTATGGAACTATATTATGGATATCTATGGATAAAATGTGTAACACAATTTTATTTTATTCTCGGTACTAGTGAAAGCAAAAAGACTAACTTGTTTTTCAAAACATTTCAAAAAAAGAAATACAGTTATCTACAAGAAAATAAAACTTTCTACCCAAAGTCTTTCATAGTACAGACACAACGCATACAAAGGATCACTTCGTCTATATTCTTAAACTCATGCACTTAAACATACACTGTAGTTTACTTTGTTTTAGTGTGTGAAAAAAGAACAATGAATAGTCGTCTATCTCAAGACATGATTCCACTATTATGCTTTTCGCCACATACTTGATTATAAACTTAGATAAGTCACTCATATATATGTGTCCCGTCCAACAGTATACTTGCAACATCACGTACAATAGCATCTCCAACTCTTGAAGTCTGATATGTTAATTAATAAAGCGTGATTGGGGAGCTGTAGCGACTGAGCGTATAAACACTGCATCATGATAGTCTTCTGAACAGGAAGGTATTTCATAAAATTCCTAAGTGCTCGACATACCTAAGTCTAGGCTTAAGTCTTTGTTTTGTACACTTACGTGTTAATTTTATACACTTAAGTCTAGACTTAGTTAAATCGAGCATTTAAGAATTTTTATGAAACACTCTCTAGAGCTGTAGTTTGTATCTAGTAAATAAGGTGCGATCTTCTTCATAACCCAAGAATACAAACATACTTTAATGGAGGGTAAATAAAAATCCATTCTTTTCTACAATGGAACAATGTAGGAAAATATCATCTGTGGAGATTATTTCCTATAGTGTTCTATCCCAAAATTACGCTCAAACATGTACTATCTTAACAAATTCAAATAGCTTTTATACTGGGAGCAGCTAAACAAGAACACTTGGAATGCCGGATTTGATTTGACTTGCGTTGTGTTTGTGTATTGTACTTACTCATAAAACGAGCAAAATCAAAAAAATTGATTGGCTTGAAGAAGCCATTTCGACCGTAATATCAGTAATTCGTCAACAAACAGTTATCAAGGTAGAACTTCTTTTGATTTAATGCAAAATCATTTTTGTCTATATCGCTAGATAATGTCTGGCGAAAAGATACATTTCACCTCTGTAGGTTCCATTATATTAAACTTGTTTATAGATGTCGTAGGACTACATTACTCAAGCGCTTGTAGCGACCTCAAAATTTTGCCTTCATTATTGATCGATTCCTCTGTAATACAACAGAAATCGTTCATAGGCATTCGGCATTCGTTAGAATTTAATGTAGCCTAGTGTAAACGGCATACTTCAAAAAGCCGATAATTTTGCCAGAACAAAAAAGTTAAACAATGAAGCTAATTAAAGTTAAACATTCAGACAGTCGTTGCTGTACTCATTAAAGATACCGCCAATTCAACCATTTAGCTAAATATAAAAGTTTCTTTTATTATCACTTTGTTTTCTTACAGTTCAAAGCAGATATGTTGTCGGACTCAAAAAAAGCGTTAATAAAAATGAAAAGTTAACAGAGTACAGAAAAAACAACAGCAAGTTGGACTTTGAAATACATAAAACCAAAAAAATAAAAGAACTGACTGTTTTTCAGACTATCTGACGATCAATGTCTATGTGTTTTTTTCTTAAAAATCATTCGCACTGTCTGGCTAATTCACCAAAATAAGCTGTAACAGTTTTAAGTCGATTATTTAGAAAATTTTGTTCCAATTCCATAGAAACACCATTAGGCGATAACGATACTACCTGAAAAAGAATATATATCAGCAAAAATATAGCCGAATTCCCCAGAAAAGTGTACCTGTTCAACGTTGATATTTCTCGGTAAAAAATAAGCAATATTTTCTGATATTAGTTGTGCACTTTGAAATACATGAAAACCATTTAACTCAATATTTTTTTCCAAATCAAACAATTCAATTAGACCGTAGGATGGACCACCCCAAGGAGGTGAAAGAAAAACAACATCAGCTTTCAATGTTGGTGCCAATTTCATAAAATCACCTACGATAAACACATTAAAATAAGAAGATAGATGTAAGACTTAGCGTATTTTGTACCTTGAATGAATTCTATACGATCTTCAACTCCATAGATGCGAGCATTTTGTTTTGCGCATTCAATTTTTTTTTGATCAATATCAATAGCAATAACTAAAATGAAAAAGAATGAATAGGGACAATTCTCTTACTAAAGTCCGATTAAATCAATTGAGCATTGAGCCAGAAAGATGATACTTTAATCCTTCTATATTTTCTCTTACCCTTTTCACAGGTGAATGCAAACTGTATAGCATTTCCCCCAACACCACAAAATGCATCGATAATAACATCACATTGACAACGTTTAGAAATATGTCGAGCAATTTTTTCCGGTGTAACTGAAAACCAACCCTCTGAAACAAAAGAAAAAACTTTTTTTTCAAATATCCAACTTCTAGGCATATTCGTTTTGGCATTACCGGTATCAAGTACAATTCCTTCATCAAATTTTGAAAACAGACGGTATCGTTGTAACCAATATTTAAGTAATTCTTGATCATTCTGAAATTGATCTGGTAGAGAATTTTTATCGACAATTAATTGTTTTGGTTTCTGTTTCTTTTTTTTTCTTTGTTTATCACTATTAATTGGCACAAGAACATCATGAACATCATTAAGAACAAGCATATCGTCTTTCTTCTTTTCTTGATCTTCAGAAACAACAAGGTTGTCATCACCCATCATTTTTATATTATCATCACTATTTAACCATTGTGTATGAATACGTATAGCTTTTTTCAATATTAGACCATAGGATAGTTGTTTATAATTAGATAACAAATGTACGTTTGATGAAAGAATGCTGTTAGCAGTATTGTTATCATCCATATACAAACCAAGCTTTTTAAACTTTTGTTTTGTTCGTTGTCTTTCATCTACATCATCAACTGCATCGGGTTTTTGCTTTTTTCGTGGTTCGCCATCACCAACGGACTGAAATAACAATAAAAAATAGATTTTCAGTATAGTGACGTTTATCCATTTCATTCTTACATCATTTCTCCTTGTAACCTTTGTATTAACTGTTAATGGTGCTTCTTCAGTAACATTCATTGATTCTTCTACTTCAACTTCATCACCACAGTAGCTCTCTGAAATATATTGATAAAATGGTTCATAATCGATATTTTCCTTTGTACAATATTCTTTTAATTTGTTATCATAAGTTGTTAAATAATGTTCACGCCATAAATCAACTAAATGTTGTTCTTCATTTATACCGCTGTCTGATGATGTTGATGTATCATTTATCGTATTAATATCTAGAAAATAAAGTATTTCATAACATTATTTTCATACAAGAAATAAGAAAAGTATACAATACCATTATGATGTGTCCATGAATCCGATGCTATTTTGTAACCTTCAGCATTCCAGTATGCAAGCCATTTTTCAAGAGCATTCTAAAAACAATTCAGATTATCAATAAATAATATATATATCGAGAATGTTTAAGATTTGGAAAATAATGCCTTAAAAAACGACGTAGAAACTTCAATACCTTGTATTCACTATTACTATCAACTGTCTGTTCTTCTTGCGATCTTGCTTCTTCTTAAATAAGTAGAGAAAAATTCTCCTATATATAGCGTACACATATAAACATCCATAATTTACCAGAATATTTTTGATCATCGGATGAATATGAGTATTGTTTTCGCCGAGGTATATAACATTGAATCTAAAAAAAAGAATTCACAGTTCCTTTTTTCACTAACGATCACGGGTGGGACAGTTCGAGTTCAGTTGTTTTGAATGAGAACTGGTACCAGTTCTTTGCAAAAAATTAAAATTGAAATAAAATCGGTGAACCTACTTACACTGACTTTGTGTAGTGCGGCAGAGGTAGATGGTGTGTTTAGTTGACTAAACCAAGTCAATATAACTAGTTACATTGGTTTTATTTTATTTTGAATCCTTGAAAAGAACTGGTAGCCAGTTCCCGTGCAACAGGAACTGAACTGGTGATTAATTCTTTACAACTATAGGAACTGAAACTATCCCACCACTACTAACGATACCGTTAAAATACATACTAATGATGACGTGAACGACGTTGGAAGGCCCATCTGTATCATTGCTAACGTTTCTTCATCTAATGGTTCTTCTAAATAAAAATAAAAAGAAGAGAGCGTAAATATTCAAATACATATTTTCTCTGTGATATACTGTTGCTTTACCTTGAGGATTATTCTGTACTTCAAGTTCAGCTAAATTATCGGTTATCTGATCGACTGCAGTTTTTTTTGGTTTGTTGTACATACTCCATTTTAACAAATTTAAATCACTAAAATGGAAAATATATCTTGAACTATTGTGATAATGATGAAATCAAACTCAAGACCAAAGTAAACAAAGATTTTTTTGTTTTTAAAAACATGTAGATATTATTTACACTTATTTCAATAAAAATACACCTGTATAAAATAACTACGTACTTAAGAAGAACACGCGATAAAACAAATTTAATATCATGATTGTGGTTAGAATCACCTAGTGTCACAGACACATTTGCTACAGGACCACTGCCAGAACGTACCATAGCACCGAAGAAAAAAAGCAATAGTGTACGTGTTAAATAAAATATATAGAGATATATGTACACAAATCTGAAACTAAAATCAAACCATATCCCTACATTAAACAAACATAGTGAAAAATTCACACTTACTAACTTCGTTTTCAAATATTAAAACAAAATTTATGATAGAAAAATATGACAAAAGAAAAATCAATAGCACCAAATCAAAGTATAAGACAATTTCATTCACAAATAAGAGAGCAAATTTAGAATATAATAGCACCGGTTTAAGATCGAGTTTTTAGCAACATTAAATTTAACAAACATGCATGCTAGGAACATTTAAATTCAGCACACTAATACTAAGATCTATCTCTCAGTGAAAACTTTGGTACAAAATACCCGATCGTTATCTCGAACAATACAAGACGAGACAGATTGGAATTGTCTAATATTTTTTTCTCAAAAAAATAAAAGTAAGATAATAATGATGAAAAATAAGACAATGGCTAATATTGTCAGAAGCGTGTGTGCAATTGGATCGGATTTATTCCTAACAAAATAGTTTGTTTGTTTTGTTAATTGTTCAATATTATTTTGATTATGTACCATATTCTGATCTAAATTATTCAATACTTGAACATGTCCATCAAGTTCAAAATTAATATTTTGTGTTAAATGTTTTAATGAAAGAACGGTACTATGAATAGTATTCAATTGTTCATCTTGAGTTTTAAGAATTGCATCACGTGAAGATGATAGTGAAGTAGATAACGATGGAGATAAATTAACAATGTCCATATTTTCTTGTTTCATCATTTCATTCTTATAATAATTTAGTCGTATACGCATCCGTTTAACATAATCGATACGTTCATTAGAAGATGAAAAATTCGTGTTTAAAATGTTAGTTTTTTTTAATAAAAACGGTTCACTATTTTCTTTTGAATAAAAAAAAATAGAATGTTGTTTGGGTTTAGATGATCGATTATTAATTGTTTCTAATGGATGTGTAAATTCTCTTTTGAGTAATGTTTTATCTTCTGCTTCTTCATCAAATTCATTCGATATTTTATCGTCAAGTATTGGCAATGATACATTTTCATCTTCTATTTCTTTATGATGAGATTGAGAAAGTTCATCATCGTTATTGTTTTGTGGTAATTGATTTAATTTTTCAAGATCTTCTAAATTCCATGCTATATTTTTGAATAGATTTTCTAATTCATTGTCATCTTTTGACGTTTGTGCATAAAGTTGTTCAATTTTAATAAATGATTTTTCTATATCATTTTTTAAATTCAAAAATGACTCGATATGATAAGATTTTTTCAATGCCATTTAAATGAAAAAAAAGAGAAAAAACACATACATTAGATAAACATTGAATTGAAAAATATCTTGAATTAAAAATAAAATTAGGCAACATTAATCAACACAGAAAATAAGTACAATCCATTTTTCTCAAACTCATTTAGTCTCTTGTTCTATGAGTTTGAACTAGTAGAAACATTGTGAATAGATGACAAACTAAGTTAAATTTTCCTCATAGTACTACCAGAGTAGAAAACGATGGATGATCAGTGTTAGTATAGAACCACAGTATAAATGAAATCTAAACTTCGTTGAATAAAACATAGAATTGTCACTGAGTAGAGAATACACAAAAAAAAAAAATTTCCTAGTTTATTTCACTCGATAAAAAGTCTATTGTTAGGAGAACACAGAATACACAAATATGAGAAAGAAAGTAAAAACAAGACACCGAAGGTTGTTTTGAACCAAAGGTATAAGAAATCACAGTTCACTATCGTTCGTTAAAAAAATTGTAAAAAAAAAGATAAATAACACATGATTATTCAAGTATAAATTAAATCTTTGCTGGTTGTTTCCATTGACGAAGTTATATGAAGAAAAATTCTCATAGGATTTGCTCTTGTCTTATCAACAACCGTTAATTCTGTACCATCAGTAAGATTAAGTTCTAAAATGAAGTATATAAGAAAATTTTTTTTGGAGTTTAATACAAAACAGTTCGTATACCTTGTAATGTTTTGTTCAAATTAGGTTTTGTTATTTCTTCAAATTGTTGAGTAGATATCATATACAATGTTCGATTTTGACCTTCATTATCGGCTGTGGTTATTCCTGGTGATATCAAATTGCTAAAAAGAAATCGAGCAGATATTTTATGAATTATTAATTCGTAAATTCTTCAATAACCATATATTCAAGTAAATATAAAGATAAGAAATTTTCTATCTGACCATTACTAGTATTTTTCTTTCTTCAACAATTATCTATTATAAATAGAAAAATTAAAGTTTCCAAAATGCTTACTATCTTTCGATTAATGTATCAAGAACTTCCTGTAATTTGGATGTTTCGTTTAATTCTATTTTCTGAGGGATTGTAGAGCATACTGGACAATTACTCTAAAAACAAAAAGAAGATTATAATTTGAAGAAAGAAGATTCAAATTTACTTTTTTTTCTGCTTCAAATGTATAAGTATAAATGCCTTCAATATCGTTGAAAATGGTATAATTATTCATTAGAATTACGGAACTAAAATAGAATAGAGGAACAGATATAATAAAGAAGTGAATAACAAAATACTGACCGTGTTGCTAATTTGAAAACTTCTGTTGCGGATATGGATGCCACAATTGCATTTGTTGATGCCACTGCCGGTATAATTCTTTTAACAACACCTTGTGTAAACCGAAATGTAATGCCAGTTATTTTGTATGTTTTTGCTCTCTCAAGTGCTCGCTCATAAATCCATTGAATATGTTGTACACTATCTCCATCAATACGAACATCTACAAAGAGCAAAGAACATTATAATTAATACTTTAAAAAAAACATCATGTTTACCTTTTCCAAATGGATTGTGCTCTTTCCAATGTAAAACTGTTACCCATTCCACGCAATGTTCTGGTAATCGTGGTTGATTGGCTAATGTACACATTGGATAGGCAACCTAAAATGATGCTATTTTTATAAACTTTGAACTGCATCAATAGTTAATTTCACATGTACCTGTGGCGGAAATAAATCCAAGTTACATTCAATACAAGCAGTAATACCTGGATAAATAACACGAGCATTTCCTTTAAAACCTTCTGTACCCCCATCGACTAGTGGTATTATTGTTGATGGATCAACTTGATTGGTTTCATCATCATACGTAAGTAGTGTGACCTAAAACAAAGAACAAAATGTGTTTAGAAAGAGATTTATATATAAGTTCTATCCAGACTTACTAACATACTATTGATCCATCGTCTAGCTATCACTGAATCAAGGCCACAAACAACAATTCGAAACTCTTAACATACACGATCAAATAAAAAACAAAGAAAAACTTTGAAAAATACTTTTCTCACGAGTGTAGAAGGACCCATCAAAATCTTCAATTCGTGCAACATATCTACACAAAAAATAAAGAACAGAATTTTAAAAAAATTTAAAAATAAACATTCTAATTTGCGTACGGCGTTACTTTACAAGCAGGAATTCGATTCATAATAAATTTAGCTGCTACTTCTGCTTTTGGTTTACCAATATCTTTGAATCTAGAATAGAAACAGTTTATATTATGGTTAATTAGTAGGTAACATTTGAAGTTTTGTTGAAAGAGTTGCTGATTAAACTAATAGAGAAAACTGGAAAGTAGTACTTCGTTCATTCATTCCTTACTTAAATAAAAATTGACGATTTAAATTTGCTAAATCAATTGTATCCATATCAATAATACTAATTTGTCGAAAACCCATTAAAGCCTAAAAAACAACCAAGACATATGTCACTTTCAGTAGCTCATAAAAACGTGAACAGACCAAATCTTTTAATAATTCACAACCCAAACCGCCAGCTCCAATAATAAGAATTTTCATTGATTCCAAAAACGGTAATATCTGAATAAATGCAAAGTTTTCAATTGTCAAATAGAAATAGACAACTGGTTGATTTTACCTCTGTTGATGGCTCAAAAGCAGGGTCAGAAAACGGTCCAGGACGTTCTAACACACGTCTTATATGTGACCATCGTTTTGGTGAATTCGTTTCATTGCAATTGTTTGCACTTCTCGTTTCGACGGTTGGTACAGTCATCTGAAAACAAAATCAAGGAAACTATTAGCATTAATTGATTTTGAACTTTTTTTCTTATGTGAAAGAAACAACGTTAAAAATACTTTTTATGAACGACGAAAAACCTTTATCATTGCGGGATCTGTACCCAAATTCAAGCACTTCAAGAAACAAAAGGCATTCAGTCAAGGAAACCATCGAAATGCGAATATTTTTACTATTTAAAAACTAAATTGTCTATTGTGAACCGTTCGCTGACTTATTACTTTCCTTCCTGAAACTTACCTCCAATGACTCATGATTAAGATATCTAGAATGAAAACTGGTTGTAGATTAACCTTAGAAGAAAAATGGTGGTAACAGGATATCTTTTTTTTAATCATCTATAACTGACACTGGGCGTCATCTGCTTCAATATTTTCGAAATTTCGGTATAATAACAGAGAGTATTATAGAATAGAGTCAGGCTACTCTGTCCAAAATGACTTCCTCTTTTTCAAACACTCATTTCTTATCATATATTTTCATCATAAATGCTTAAAACAGACTGCTGAAGGCACAATTTTTATGTAATTCAACTTCATCATTTTTTCATCGTAGTTTATATTGTTCGCATTTTATGTTTTACTTATATTAGTGAAAAATACACGAAGAGAAAAATCTAAATCAAGGCTCTATGAATAACCAAATATTCGGATTTTTTCATGTTGATTTAAATGATTTGATGTATCGTTTGCTGTTGATCTTAACTGTTATGTTTGGATTCGGCTAGTTGTAATTTGATAATAAGTCGCACGCAAAAGATTCTGATAATGGGTAAACTCTGGAGAGTATAATAAACGATCGTGTTGTTCATTTACTTTCTTCCTCCATCTACAATTCAAATCACTAATTGGCAAATTACTATTTGACAGCTGCGTTGAGTCATATTGTTTTATCAATTCTGCTGATATTGACAATTATTGTTAAATCTCATTGAAAGACTCATTGTTTTGTGGCTGTAGAACAGATAACTGGATTATCTTCGATTAACTTTTAGATTCTATTCATAACAAAATTTGATTTCAAGCAAAATCTACAGCTAAATTGAAATCTTGTTGCACCTATCTTCAAATGATTCTTCTCAAGCAGAAAAAAATATCAACTATCGAGCGATATAGCTAGCTGGCAATTCAAATCAGGTTATTTACTATCGGGTGATATAGATAGCTAACACGATACATTACTAGATATACCTAGCTAACTCAATAAAAGTGGCACGGATAGTTAGCTACCACAAGCCGATATCGTCCGATAACATATTTTTGTAGCTAGATATTCTCAAAGGCATTTTTTGGCTTGGGTACAGATCGATCACCCCTCCCCCCTACTGTGTTGTGGGTGTGATCAATCTGTAGAAGTATCCTTCAAATGATCGACGGTTTACGTTTCAGATGTGTTTCATTTCTTTCAACAATTAATCACAATATCAAAATTCACCATGCCAGATGAAGTACTTATCGATAAAATATCTGAATTTTTTCAAGGTATGACTGTATATATTTGTTTTACAAATTGATAAGTTCATCTAGAATGTACCTTGGTTTATAAAAGTTGTGGTGAAAGTACCGAAATCAGCTAGTATTTGTAAAGTTTCTTTCCTAGCCATCGATTGTTATTTAAAAGTTAACTAATAATCTTATAAAAATCCCGTAAGTATCCATGCAGACTCAGATCAGAATCTTACTCGGCTCTTAACAGATCCTCGAACAAGATTTGTCAAGAACTGTTGAGCACTTTTTAAGAATCGTATAAGAATGCCATAGGAAGTTTATAAGAATTCAGCTAGAATTTTGCGAAATTCTTACGTTATTTTATCGAATTCTTAGGCTGAAAATATTTTTTGTAAATTGACGACTAGCGTAGTGAATGTACGCAAGTGTGAGTAACAAGTACTGTGGGAGTTTGAGTACTCATGCTTGGGTATTGTTGTGTACTCACATAACTTTTGACAAAATACTCATGAGTAACTGAGTACTCACTGAGTAACAATACTAACTTTTCTACTCATCCGTTCATTAAGGCTCTTTTGCAAATTGAGACAATGTGATCCATTGGATCGCGATTTTGATCTGTATTAAGATTTTCTTTTTCAAATAAAGTTTATACCAACAATACTGAAAAATTGTTAGTAGTACTAATATGAGTACTTATGGACGAATTATGAGTAAAGTCGTACTCATTGTATGAGTACTTTCACTAGGGTAGTGCAAATGAGCCCTTATCCACTCTTTAGAAAATATAAACTCAAACGTTTTAGTAGAAACTACGCCATTGACTATTAGTTTTATATCGTTTATAATCGTTCAGATACTTTAGAATTGATAAAAACTGATAAAATAAAAAACTAGAAAGCAAAAAAATGTAAAATCATGAAAATATAAAAAAAACGTACAGCTCTTCTAAGATTCCCTAGAAATTTACTAGGATTCGTGTAAGAATTTGATAAAAATTATGTAAGAGTTCTGTGACCAATCTTGTTGAACTCCTATGAACTTATGGCATCCTTATAAGATTCTTGCATGACTCTTGACCAATCTTGTATAAAAATTTGATAAGAGTCAGATAAGATTCTTACCCGGATTTTCAAAATCTATTTATCTAGGGTATGTAAGCAGGTCCATTGCTGGTTTTGAGAAAACTGAGTTCTACTTAGGGCTATCCAAAAGTAGTGAGAGAGGTACTATTTTTTCTTATCGAAAGCTTGAAAAATTTTTCTTTTTTTATGAACTAAAAATATTTTTTATAATATTTTTCTATGCTATTTGATCATTTCAACCAATATCATAATAATAAAATTTCGATAAGATCTGTTTCTTTCGCATATGTGCTGGTAGCATGAACATGAATGCTCGTGAGTATTTTTTGAATAATGTTTAATAGCAATAAGATAGAGAACTGTGATTTTCACCGTTGGAAAGAGGAGATGAAGACGCATTGAACCATATATTACGGATTTTCTAATCTGTTTTTTGTAAGGTTTTTAGTTGACCTTTTAAAGAACAAACCTATCCCGTGAGTTGTTTACAGTGAATTTCCAATAATCAGGTTCACATTCAAACCGCTAATCGAAGATCTACAAACTACGAAAGACTCAGGTGTAAATTTAATTATTTGGGGATAATACATATTCTAGACGAACCTCTACTACGATTTTCGATCAACCTTTCTGTTTTTTCTTTTTTTCATAAAAAAAGCATTTTTCCGACGGTTAGAAAATTGAATAAAAACACTTCAGAAATCATATTAGAAAAATCAGTAATCTACAGTTCGATGCGCCTTCATCTCCTCTTTCCAATGGTGAAAATCGCAGCTCTCTATCTTGTTGCTATCAAACGTTATTCAAAAAGTACTTACGAGCATTCATGCTATCAGCACATATGCGAAAGAAACAGATCTTATCGAAATTTTATTATTATGATATTAGTTGAAGTGATCAAAATAGCATAGAAATAGAGCGAAAGACGCTCTATCTGTTCATAAAAAAAAGAAAAAATTTTCAAGCTTTCTATAAGAAAAAATAGTACCTCCCTCACTACTTTTGGATAGCCCTAAGTACTTTTACAGTATAAGTTATTTAGTGTTCAAGTTAAACTAAAATGTCATCTATACATAAAAAAATTGCGTTTTTGTTTAGTTTAAGGTGATCCTATTCAACTATTTTTGCCCGCTCCCCTATTAATACTATACTATTAAAAATTGCATATCATATTTTCTGGCAAAATAGTACGTTCATGAAGAATTCTTTAGATACAGGACTCTGAAAATCCAATGTGTTTGAGATACTGTGTCATTATCATTACTGTATTTTTTAATATAAATCTCACGAGGTTTTGTCTGAGTGGTAGAACGGTTAAGAAATACATCGGAGGAGACAATGTCTTTAAAGTAGTTAAATAGATGAAGAGTAAAAAAAACAGCGCCATTTCCACTATAAGAATAAAACTCAGTTTCCTCAGAATTCGATGCGGCTTGCATAGATCATAAGAGCTGAACGATCTGTACAAAATCTGTATGATTTTCAGCCCTTTTGCTACAACTTTTTGTAAATCATGCTAGATTTTTTACTCAAATACAGAACACAATGTATAACCTTTCAGATATCAAAAACTATCCCCACAATAAAATTGAAAAAACTTATTTGCTTAATAAAATTGAAGAAATTATAGCAGCGCACACAGAATTAGAGCATTTTTATGAACCATTTGCTAGTGGTTTATCATCTCCAAATATCCACGATATAAAACCGAAAGATTTTGCTTGTAAAGGTGATAGTGGAGGCAACAGTGGTGATGGATCTAATATTAGTACGAAAGAAGGAACTTCTGTTTCGTCACCCGAAAGTACAATATCTATGTCTCAAGCAAGCAATGTTATTATGAAAGGTGATCTTCGTGTCAAAAGAGGTATGTATAATCAAAAGTTCGATGAGAAAAGGTCCACAGAATAGAACCCTGCGGGATTGAGTTTTTTCGTCCTGATCCCGTCTCGAAGGGTAAAACTCTACCGTAATTCCGAGCAAATCTTTTCTCCAATTCCTATCCGGATCCCTTTCTACAGGCTTAATTCCGATCGCTTTAAGTCCCGAAAACTTTTATTTTTATTTTTGTAAAGGTGATAGTGGCGGCAACAGTGGCGATGGATCTAATATTAGTACGAAAGAAGGAACTTCTGTTTCGTCATCCGAAAGTACAATATCTAAGTGTCAAACAAGCAATGTTATTATGAAAGGTGATCTTCATGTCAAAAGAGGTATGTATAATCAAAAGTTCGATGAGAAAAGGTCCACAGAATAGAACCCTGCGGGATTGAGTTTTTTCGTCCTGATCCCGTCTCGAAGGGTAAAACTCTACCGTAATTCCGAGCAANGTTCGATGAGAAAAGGTCCACAGAATAGAACCCTGCGGGATTGAGTTTTTTCGTCCTGATCCCGTCTCGAAGGGTAAAACTCTACCGTAATTCCGAGCAAATCTTTTCTCCAATTCCTATCCGGATCCCTTTCTACAGGCTTAATTCCGATCGCTTTAAGTCCCGAAAACTTTTATTTTTATTTTTGTTTGTAATAATGAAATATAGTTCCAATAAATTGGAAAAAGAAATACTCCGATCTCGTCCCGTAAGCTTGATTTCAATCCTGTAAAATTCTTTCCTCTAGTCCCGATCCCGCAGAGCTCTACCAGAGAGACAAAGACTTTCTTTAGCATTACGCCCGATTGTCTTTGCTGGCATACATCTTACCAGAGGAACGTTACAAATGTTTTCAACAAATAATGTTTACGAAAAGCTTTTAGAAGAATCTCGTTTTTATCAAGTTTTGTGATAAAATTGATTCCTTCACAGGCACAATAGGATATCAAATGTAGACTTTTCTTTTTAGATTCGTCTGCCTTACGATCTGTCTTGTCAATGAGTAGGTTACTACGAAATACTACGACCACACAGATGTCTTTCTAAGCCCTTCTCTCTCTTTTTTCAAGAGTATACATTAGAAGCAACAGTCTATGCGGAATTAACTATTATGAACAACGAAAAAAAGGAAAAAAGTGCTGTACTACAAATATATGATGGAAAAAAGTCCAAACAGCTTTTACATTCATTTGTATTAGATAAAGGTAATATGAAAAAGATGGCTTTTTCTGTGCTTGTGGATTAGAGGTGGGGCAGTTCCAGTTCAGTTCTTGTTGAATGCGAACAGCTTACCAGTTCTTTTCAAAAGAACGAGAATTGGTACCAGTTCTTTGCAAAAAGATTAAAATTGAAATAAAACCGGTGAATCTACTTACATTGACGTTGTGTAGTGCGCCAGAAGTACATGGTACGTTTAGTGGTGACCAAACCAAGTCAATGTAACTAGTTACAACGGTTTTATTTTACGTTGAATTCTTGAAAAGAACTAGTAACCAGTTCCCGTTCTTTTGAAAAGAACTGATATCAGTTCAGTTCAAAAAGAGCTGAACTAGTGACCAGTTCTTAGGAACTGGAACTGTCCCACCTCTATTGTAGATATCTAACAACTATTGATGTTATAGAGTATACATTTAAACAACCGAACAAGAAAGAATTCTCAATAAATGTTCTTTCGAATAGTGATACAGTAAAATTGTGATTTTCTGTTATTTTACGCATGTTTCAATATTTCGTCTGTTTATAGTTTTTGGTTGACCTGCCTGATACACCCGAGCATTGGATCATATCACTAAAAGGCGCAGTATCATGGCTGAATAGTAAGAAACATTTTGTGATTTATTTTCTTCTATACTAGTTGTTTTTTTCTGTTTTAGCTCAAGAGGAATACATCTTATTTAGTCCAAAGGCATGTATTTCAAATATTTTAGCAAAGAAATAATTTATTTATTAGTTCTATTTCTAGTCAACATCGCATATTCCCTTCCACACTCTGCCCCCTTATCCAGTTTCCAATCCGATACCACTACCACCCAAACCCCAGTCATATAAACCTATAAGATCAATGAGCATAACCGATTTTCAACAACCTGAAAATATTTACGTATGTCAGTACGATAATATAAAAGAATCAGGACATGAACTACAGTTTAGTATTGGAGATTTACTTCATATAGTGAACACAAGTGGAAAAAACTATTATGTTGGCTGTAAATACAACGACAAATGTAAACAAATGGGACTTGTTTATAAAGAATATATTTGCCAAGCTTATTGCAAAAAATAAGTTAGCTTAGTTTTTTGCTATAACACATCATACGGTGACTTTATTTTCGGAACGTTTTTTCTAATATTTTTTTTATTCGTCTTCCATCTTTTTATTTGTTATGGGGTAACTTTTAACCTTTATATATTTTTATGAATACTGTATATTTTTATCGATAACAGTATATTTTATATGCAAATAAACGCTTATACTTATACTTCCAACGAGCGCGCGCAACAATGAACGGCGACAGAGAGGACTCCTAACAGTTGGAAAATAAATTTCATACTACATTTTTGAGAAAATATTTTTGTCATCCTTCTGCTGTTTGAATCTCCGTCATATTCTTGAGTACGATACTGTCGACCAGAGATGCACTGGAAACCCATTTTTCAGAACACGTCCTGTCCCGCTCCGTCAACTATTCCCGTCCCATCCCTATCGCAAAACCTTTTCCTTTTCCGTCAATTTCCCACAATCGCTTCTTGCAGCAATGTTTTTTCTCTTCGCGATATTTTTAAGCTTTCCTTCTTCCAGAATTACAGGCCTACGGGGCCAAAAAGGTTTGGTCCCGGTCCTGTAGAAAGAACTCGTTTTTGATACTAGCGCTGACAGTTTGAAAGTCAGCGTGTTGTAAGCAAGTTCCTAGAAAGACAATTAACTATTTACATTTTTCTTAGTTACTTTCTTATTATCGAACAATAAACAATACTAACAGCGAGTAGAAAAAGAATAAAAAGAATAAAATTAAACTCTGGACTATATGGCAAGACGAGAAAAAAAAGAGAAGGTTCACATTTTGATATTATTTTGTATTCTCACATGTACCTCTTTTTGAATGACATTTTATTGAACATGCGACTCCTGCTTTTTACATGAACAGTGCTTTGTCGCACATTTCGTTTTACAATCACACGTTGCTTCACTTACCGCTGCACGAACAAACAATTTCGATGCTTCTATAAAAGTAATTTCATCTTTAAGCTTAAATACATCTAAATTTTTTAAAACATCAGGACGAGCCGTTCTTAGATCCACAAGACTTTCAATGGTGAACCTAGTTGATAATAAACCAAATTGACATGCTAAATAAAAAGAATATCACCTTTCTGTTTTTTTGAAAGAATTAAACAAAGTACGATTTTTGGATCAGTATTCGTGACACTGACCCAATCTCTTTTCTTATATTGTTCAGCTAATCTAGATAGATGTCCATCATAGACTTTTCTTTTTCTTATTAGCAGTTTCTAAATGGTTCTCGACGTTGTCTGCGATATTTTATTATTGACCGAGCAAGATGAACCAGGCACACCTGAAGAAAACACATCAAGAATTATCGTCCACTATCGCACATGAATGTAGACTACAAT